AAACAATTGGTCGCACTTACTTTAAAGTGTAAAACTTCAAAAATTGTTAAAAAAAAACAGAGTCTGTTAAAATTAAATTTTCGGGCCCCTCGTTTTATGTGAGGAAGATTGACTTTGTAAAACAATTACAAAAATGGACATTTTCTTCTTGAAAAAAGGGAAAACAAGTCTCCTTTAATTTCAGAAAAAGACGAAAGTGTTTTGAGTATTTTCCTTTTTAAAAAACTCTGAAACATATTCTAAAATTTGGAAAAAAAGGTCAAACTTCTTTATTCATTTGGAAATTATGGCGTAATGCTACCTTTTAAGTCTAAGGAAAAAACTATCAAAACTAAAATGTGGTAGAATACAATCAGCAACAACACCATTTGTTGGTGACGTAGTACATATAAAAGAAGATTTACCACGCACTTGTTGGAAACTTGGGAAAATTGTCGAATTGCCAACTAGTTTTCCCGGAGAAATAAGGTCCGCAAAAATCAGATTGTCGTCTGGTCGGGTTATAGAGAGACCGTTAAACTTACTATATCCGTTAGAAACTACAGAGAATAGAATTATATCTGAACCGAGTGAAATAAAAAACAATACAGAGTATAATTCTATACAAAAAATAGAAAGAAACGCTGCGACTAAAGCAAAACATAAGATTAAAGAAATAGTTAAAGCTTCACAATAAGCATATACTGTTATAAAATAGTTATAACAATCAATCACGAAATTATTTGAAATAAGTGAGTTGTTTTCTTTACTATTTTCAGATTCTCGAAATTCAGTAAAATTGCGTGAAACTACAGCAAGTTTATCAATATACCCCCACCGGTGCAAACGATTTAAACTTTTATTTTCACACGTGAATAAACGAAAAAATCGTAATTTTTTTTGGTGAAAAAATTCCGTGCTTTGTTTATACTTACACTTCATGAGCATAATTTTTGAAATACTGTTCTGAGAGATAGACTATTAAAACGATTTCAACAAGCCTCAAAATATGTATGAGAAAAATTTCAAACGATACATGTGGTGGACGAATGCTCAAAATGAATATAAACAATATAGGAGTCTTAGACGGGCACATGGTTTTGAAAAACAACAGCATAAAGAAGATATTTGCGTGGTGTAAATTGGATGTCAATCTACCTTTTTATAAGGGGAAAAAAGGGATAATAAAACAAGAGGGGGCCATGATGCCCTAGATCGCTCACCTGACCAATCAACTCAAACCAAACAATTATCTATGACAAGCATTCTGACCAAGTCTCATGACAGTGAGTCAAAAATGTGACCACTACAGTTTATGAAGAGGGCCATGATGGCACTGGTCGCCTCACCCGAAAAACAACAGGTTTACAGTGTTGGAAATTATTTTTTTTAAAAAAGAATTTGCTGAAAAGATCAAGTTTCAGCTCTTTCGGCAAGTTCAAGCTCAACTTTAATTTCCCCTCTAGTAATATTCTTTCACAAACACTGATTGTTTTAGCTTTTTTTCTTAATGAAAAAAAAAATAGGGCCACTAAGAGTGGCCCTAGATCACTCATCTAACCCATCATTTCGTTATTTCACATTACAAAATTGAAATATTTTTGCCCTAATATTTTGAAAAGCTTTGTTAAAAAAAAATGTATGTTGCAAGTGTGTTCCTATGAGACTATGTAGAAAAATGCAGAATAAATGACCACTGGAGCAGGATTAATTTTGACTAAACAATTTTTTTTAACTTTAAAAAAAAAAACACAAAATGTCACATGCAAAAACATGTAAGGTGTAGATGTTTGAGGACAACAAATTTTTAATACATTGTGTATGGTAACATAAACTGTACACTGTACCTCTAAAAAATGACAAGAGGTCATTGTAAACAAGAGGGTCATGAATGGCCCTGAAGGTCGCTCCACCTGTATATAGGCCCCGGAGCAGGGCCAGTTTAAACCCCAGGGCTTTTATTTGAAAACTTGGAAGACACCACACATATAATGAAAAACAATGACCTTTGCAGCCCCCCCCCCCGGCAGCGCCAATTTTAACCCAAGGGCTTTTATTTGAATAAACTTGGTAGACACCCACAAGAAGATGTTTCATGTTAAGAATCTTACCTCTAGTTCATTTGGGTTTTTTTAAAGAATATTTTTTTTAAGTTTTTACTATACACATATAAATTAAAAAAACAATGACACCTCTAGGGCGGGCCAGTTTTGACCCCAGGGCTTTTATTTGAACAAACTTTGTAACACTTACTAGAAGATGTTTCATGCTTAATATCTAAACTCTAGCTATTTGCTTTTTTTCAGAGAAGATTTTTAAGTTTTTGCCATACAACATATAAGGAAAATCAATGACCCCCGGGGCGGGGCCAGTTTTGACCCCAGGACTTTTAATTTGAACAAACTTTGTAGACACTCACTAGAAGATGTTTCATGCTTAATATCTAAACCTAGCTATTTGGGTTTTTTCAAAGAAAGATTTTTTTTAAGTTTTTGCAATACAGCTATAAGGAAAATCAATGACCCCCCGTAGCGGGGCAATGTTGACCCCAGGGCTTTGATTTGAACAAACTTTGTAGACACCCATTAGAAATGTTTCATGCTAAATTTCTTAGCTCTAGCTCTTTGACTTCTTTAAAAGAAGATTTTAAAAGTTTTTATTATGCATATAGGAAAATCAATGACCCCCTGGGCCGGGGCCAATTTTGACCCCAGGGCTTTTTATTTGAACAAACTTGGTAGACACTCACTAGAAGATGTTTCATGCCAAATATCTAAGCTCTAGCTCTTTGGGTTTTTTTTAAAAGAAGATATTTAAAAAGTTGTTTTTTTCGGTTGCCATGGTAACCAGAGTTTTTGCATGGAATTAAATTCTTTGAACAATTTTTTTAAAGGTGACCACCAAAGGAACATCCTGTGAAGTTTGGATGAAATGGCTTAGTGGTTTATGAGGAGATGTCATTTAAAGTAAAAAGGGGTTACGGACGGACGACAGACGGACGGACGACGGACGGACGCCGGACGAAAAGTGATCACAAAAGCTTACCCTGTCACTTTGTGACAGTTAGCCTAAAAAATGGAAAAGTAGGCCAATTGAATCAATTTGAATTCAATTCAGCATCAGAAAAAATTACACCCCTAGTCCAAATTTCAAGTCTGTTGTCAAAAAAACACAAGAATTAAAGGTCAATTATATCAAAAATATCAAAAGTAGGTCAGTTGATATCAAATTCATTTCGGCATCAGAATTTACAAACATGGGTCTAAATTTAAAATCTGAATGTCAAAATACAAGAAAGTAGGTCAAATGGTGTCAATAATACCTAAAAGTAGGTCAGCTGGTATCAAATTGAATTCAACATCAAAAATTACACAAATTACACCCCTGGTTCAAATTTCAAGTCTGTACATAAAAAAGTAGGTTAAAGCGATATCAAATATATCAAAAGTAGGTCAGTTCAAATCAAAATTCAATTAGGATCAGAATTAAACCCCTTGTCCAAATTTCAGCAGGTACATCGAAAAAACGACAAACTAGGTCAAACAATATCAAATAATAATATCAAAATAGTCAGTTGATATCTTAATTTCATTTCGCATCAAGAAATTACATTCCTGGTCCAAAATTTCAAGTCTCTGTAACATCATTCCAAATTTCAAGTCTCTGTACATCAAAAACAAGAAAGTATGTGCAATGGTTTTAAAAATATCAAAAACAGTTCCACTGATACCAAAATTCAATTATGCAAATGAAACTCAGGTTCAACAGTCTGTCCTAAAATTTATTGAAATGTGCTTTTTCCAAGTTTAAATCCAATTCAAGAAAAACAAGAGCCACCACCGGGCGGGGGCAACGCTCGACTTTTTAGAAACACGCAATTCTATAAATAGAAACACACAATTTCTAAAAATAGTAACACGCAATTCTAAAAATAGTAACACGCAGTTCTAAAAATAGTAACACGCATTTCTAACAATAGAAACACGCAATTTCTAAAAATAGAAACATTACGCAATTTCTAAAAATAGATAAAAATAGAAACATTACGCAATTTTTAAAAATAGAAACATTACGCAATTTCTAAAAATAGAAACATGACGCAATTCTAAAAATAGAAACATGAGCAATTTCTAAAAATAGAAACATGACGCAATTTCTATAAATAAAAACATGACGCAATTTCTTAAAATAGAAACATGACGCAATTTCTATAAATAGAAACATGACGCAATTTCTAAAAATAGAAACATGACGCAATTCTAAAAATAGAAACATGACGCAATTCTATAAATAGAAACATGATACAATTCTATAAATAGAATCATGATGCAATTTCTAAAAATAGAAACATGACGCAATTTCTATAAATACAAACATGACGCAATTTCTATAAATAGAAACATAACACAATTTCTATAAATAGAAACATGACGCAATTTCTAAAAATAGAAACATGACGCAATTTCTATAAATAGAAACATGACACAATTAGAAACATGACGCAATTCTATAAATAGAAACATGACGCAATTCTATAAATAGAAACATGTTGTTGTTGTTGTTGTTGATGATGATGATGATGATGATAGATAGATAGATATGTATATATATATATATAAATAATATAATGTTATATTTCATTTAGGGATGGCTGAATTTCATAAAATATTTAAAGTTTCTGGTTTTTGAACGCTTTAAATATATATAACATGCTGTTTCGCAGGATTTTTCCTTTAGGTTTATATGTCATCCTTCCATCATAATTCGTACTTGAGTTTTTCCACAGTTTTGTGAAACATTCTATGACCTGACATTTCCCAATGCAGATAGAAGTGTGCAGATATGTATCTTTGCAGCATTGTTTCTTCTCCTTAGATTTAAAGACATCAAATAACATGAAAAAGCATCTTTTACTCACCTTTTGTTCCATAATTTTCCGAGAATTTTAAAGCTTTTCCCCGTGTGAAAAGGGTTTCTCTGTTTTAATGGTTCTGAGATTTTTGAAGAGCAATTTTTTTTCATTATTTTCCCAAATCTGCCTTGTGTAAAAAGTAGGGGAAAGGGAGAGAATCCACCACAGCATTATCCATCCAATCATCATTTTTTGTAAGGAGATTTCTGTCCCCCTGTGTAGATCTTAACATTTCATATCTGAGCTCAGTGGGTACACAGTGAATTTCACATGGCTGAAATATGACACATGATGCTGTTACATACTGTATGGCATCTTCATTTTGATTGTCACATTTTGCATAGAATCCTTGTTTTAGTTGTTTTGTTTTAAATTTATAACAACTACAGACTGGTTCAACAACTTGCAGGTCATATCTTCTTTCAATCTCACTGAGAACCAGGTCAGCTTTTTTTATTTCTTGTACACAGTAAAAGATTGAAGCTAATTTCAGTTTACTTGATGCTACATCTGTATTCAGACCAAGTGTTATGAGCTTAAGGGCATCAGCTGATACAGTGTTGTGCTGATTGATGTTGATTGAGGCCAGCACAGATGCAAGTATTGTACAGTACATTGGCAACAGAAGTTGACAGGCTCTCTCAACCAATCCCTCACATTGGTCATTTAATATCTTTGATATACAGTCTGTTAATGTCTGTACGGCTTGATAAGGACTTTTGTTCTTTAAAGTTGAATAATTGTAATAAAATGAAAGTAAAACAGATCTAGCCATTTCTTTTAATATAAGTCCTGAAATTTGTTCACTTATTTTAAATGGACATACGTTATAAAACTTGTGATGAAGCCTGGAACCTAGATCATCACATTTAATACCAAGTAGTGCCACTCCTACACTGTTGATAATGTTGTTGATTATTTCCAGGATATATGGTTTGACCACAGGTGATATCTTACCTCTCATCAAATTGTTCTCGGGTATGATAAAATGTGGGCAGTTTTCATTAATGATATTGTTATACAGGAGATATAAGCACAGTGATAGACAAGACAGTAAATTGTTTTCTCTCCAGATATTAAAATGTAAATTGGCAATACATTTGAAGAGTACCGTTTTGCACATGTAACTGGAAATCATATCTTCAAACTGTGACTTAATGAATGATTTTAAAATCATTTTCATCAAAACACAACAGCGAATCTGTGTTATATTCAAATTTAGCATTAAACACCTTTCAGCTAAAGATGTTGATATTCTCCATTCAAATTGCTCATATTCACTCCCTCTACATCCAACAGGGACAGCAAAGCATCCAGTTCTACTGCAATATTGTTTCATTTCCGCAGACGGCCACTGACCTTCACCTTGTTGATCCAACCATTGACTAGCTTGTTGTGGCCATGTTTTACAATGTAGAGCACCCACAATGTCCATATCACAGAAACAATGTGATCCTTTATCTACTCTTGCTGGTCCATGTAATGATAATTTGTCGATATTTCCACCAGAGAAAAAAGATTGTTTTAGCAGTAATTTTCCTGTTTTATCTCTGAAGAAGTATCGATTAAATTCTCCAACAGCAGGAAGAGGAGCATCACGTTGTAGCAATTGAAGTAAACAATATCCAGGAGATACAGAATTATCTTGAATCATCAAAAGATGAGGTATGCCAGGTATCCATTCGCACCAATTTTGTATTACTGGATGATTATTATAACACAAAAGTATATCGGCGTCTGACTCAAGCCCTATGGTAGTTGTACCTTCTGATCGACTACCGAAATAGTAATCCGTTAATGAATTTTTATTCCATAATTGGTGATTCACATTGATCATTGATTCTTTCAGAAGCCACGCTCTTCTCCTCTTCAGCACTATTCTCTCATCAACACCTATATCAGCTAATACTTCAGATAATCTCATTGACACATTCTCGGTGTAATTTGGCACTTGATACATTCTGTAAATACAATATTGAATGTCTTTATTTATCTTATTTGGTCAGATGATTATTGTTAATAATGAATTATTCAAAACATTTTTTCTTTCATTATAACCCATTTTATAGTATTGAATCATTAAGAAGTACTTTTCATCAACAATTGAAAGAATTGTATGATTAATGAATATGGATTATTTAACTAGACTATATCAGCTATTTATGCTTTATGAAATGAAACTCATCATTGATTTGAAATATAATGTTTATTGTCTAATATTCTATATATAACACTTGATTTCAGTACAGAAAATCTTAAAAAAATACATTTGTTTATATATTCAGTAGATCATAAGAAATGAAGTGTAATAGATTACAGTGAATCAAATTTGTTTTATTCATTTCACAATTGAAATTTGGGGGAGGGGGTATAAATGATTTTACTTTCTCTTTCAATCTTTCCTTTATTCTAGAAAAAAGACCAGTCAATTTATTATAACGGTTACAAGCACTGGGCTAATTTTTACATACAATTTTGTGAATTATTGTAAAAGTAATTTAATATGATGTATTTTTTTTTGGCACATGACATATTGACCAAGGCTATGTCCATATTCTGCATATTGTATTTGCCTATGTCTTTATTGAGTTTTTTATTAAGACCAATCTTTCACATGATTTTTCTTTATTAGTTATAAAATTTATTCATAACCCATTTTCCTTAACGATACATCTTTTTATCATCTTTATCATTATCAATTTCTTGTAAAATAAATTTTTGCTTAACCATAAATGATTTATCAAGTATGTTTTTTCTTCCTCTTTCTTTTATCTGGCTATTTATAAAAAGAAACTCGTTATTACTTCATAATGTTGTATTTTTTCATTTCTCTGAAAGAAACACTTAAATTGTCAGTAGTAAATATATGCTATACATTAGGCTGTAGTTTTTAACACCTTTCAGGTAAACATCGTCTTTAATCAATATCCTATTTGCGAAATGTTGGGGAAATTTTATAATGATTTTTTTTTATTTTAAGAAGATAACTCATTTTCTGATTTTTCAAATATCCGACATGTGTTACCTCCCTTTCTTGTAGTTGATAAAGTACTCAGTGACATGTGATTTTTTTGTCATGTCAATAATGGTTTAATTATTGTAAAATAGTTTGAACCCCGAATTTTATTTTTCAGAAAAAGAGAGAACTAATAACACAACAACATACTTTCTTAAAGTATGCTGTATTTTAAAAACTAAAAGCAAAACAAAAACAAGCAAACATAACACATTATGATTACAGTTTATATAATGCATTTAAATTTGTAGCGCATTTTAGCTTTTAATCTACAAGTATGTTGTATTTTTGATTGCGAAAACAAGAAAACATAACAATCATAACAGTTTATATAAAGCATTTTTTTCCACTTTTTAGCTGTTTAATTTTATATACAATGTCTAAATTACGATCGTATGTCAATATTTCGTTTCAATATATCAGTAAATCATTTCTATGATCAGTGACAGCCCTTAATTAAATGTACCCTGTAGTGAATCCTACTTTGCGTATGGAGAAAATAATAGGATATTCATCATAGAAAGCATCAACGTTTATCATATAAAAATAAGTAAAAAATCAGTAAAAAGGAATAAAGATAGTTAATTTTCACATTGCAAATGTTGCTCACAATCGGCGTTAATTACCAAAAAGAGGTTAAATTATGCAAAAACAGTCCTTACTATGGTGCCTTATTTTGAACATTTTTGCCCGTCGTGATAGTCGCAAGCAACAGCACGACAAAGCGCCAAAAGGCGCGCTGTCGCACTGTCGTCTTGTCTTCATATCACTAACGTATACCACAAACGGCGTGTTGTCCTTTGGCTTGTTATCTCGATGTCACAATGTCATTCGTCTCAAATCGAAGGATTGTCTATTTGTATATATAAGCCAAGCGACAGAGCGACATTGCGACAAAGCGCGGCACGACAACGCGCAGTTTGCAGTACTTCGCTAGCGACAGGACGACAAGACAACAGTGCGAAAACTGGCCGTCTCGAAAAGGAAATTACAATATAGGTTGTGTTGTCGCTATCGACAACGCAAAACGCATAGTGCACAAAATCAACCATCATACCTTACTGTATGAGTTACGAAGTATAACTATATATATGGTGATAAATACGGCTAAATCATTCAAAAATCGTAAAATGCAAATATTAATTGAAACATTTTACTTTCCTAAAATCTTATTACTGGTACGTCTTTCTCAAGTTTGATCTTCTTAAAATATTTTGGTTTGTCTTGATGTAGCTTTAAATGTGTGAAAATGTTTTATATTATAAGAAATATGACTATTCAAATCATGGAAAGTTATTTCTTGAAAAAAAAACATTAAAAAACGAGTTTTGTTATGTTTTGTTTGATGTAGACATCATGTGTTATATTAAATTTATGTCATGTTTTAGGTATCTTTATTATTTGTTATATTTTATCATTCAAAATGTTGTTTACATTTTTTATACTGGCCAAGTAAAATTGTTAACACATTTAACCATGTGGAATTCTACCCTTTTGACTATGCTCGATGCTAGATAGTAAAACAAACCCTGGATAGTATAATGAATTACTTCTGTTCATTGAGAAGTATTCAATGACTTATGGGTCTATATGACTAATTATAAACTATTATCCAGAAGTCATGTATAAAGGTTTAAAAGAAAACCTATAGTAAATGTGCATATAAAAATTGACTTTGTAAATTTATGAAGGGATATTACTAGGCAAATATCTGTGCAAGAGAACAGTTGCTTGTAGTTATGATAAATCGGTGCTAGAGGACAGTTGCTGATAAATCGGTGCTAGAGGACAGTTGATAATACATCGGTGCTAGAAGACTGTTGCTGATTCATCATATGATCACTGCTAGAGGAAAATTGATGATAAATATGTGCTAGAGGACAATTGCTGATAAATCGGTGCTAGCGGACAATTGCTGATTAATTAGTACTAGAAGACAATTGCTGACAAATCAGTGCTAGAGGACAGTTGCTGATAAATCGGTGCTAGCGGACAATTGCTGATCAATCAGTGCAAAGCGACATGTGATGATAACTCTGTGCTAGAGAATAGTTGCTGGTTAATCAGTGCTAGCGTGCAATTGCTGATAAATCAGTGCTAGAGGACAGTTGCTGAGTAATCGGTGCTATCGGACAATTGCTGATAAATCGGTGCTAAACGACAGTTAGTAATAAATCTGTGCTATAGGGAAGTAGCTGATATATCGGTTGTAGAGGAGAGTTGCTGATTACTCGATGTTAGAGGGCAGTAGCTGATAAATCTGTGCTAGATGGCAGTTGGTCATAAATCGGTGCCAGAGGACAGTTGTATATATAGGAAACGGATGAGTGATATATGAATATGTTTATACACTGTGGGGATGGGTGAATGAAATATGCAATATTTGTATATAAAGAAGGCATGTGAGTGATATATGAATATATTTAAATATTTAAGAGGCTAGCTTGTGAGTATAATTAACAAAATAAAGGATTGTCTTGTGATGACGCAGTTGTAGAAGAAAATGCTATTAGTAGTGCAACGTAAGTTCACCTTTATTTTCATGATAGATTACGTAATAATTATGTATATTATGGCATAGTTTATTACACTCAGACAAGTATATATTTATGGATAATTGCATATATTTGATAAAGTCATAGAGGCATACTATATATGTAAGCTTTGCTACATAAAAAAACGACTTACTGATATTGTAACCAGTGTTTACATTAATTGTCATATGCTCTGATTAGACCTGGTCAGGATTTTCTCTGAACAATTTAATGGTTAGAGCCCGAATGCCATAGTGGCACAATGTCTATCTGCATAAATGATTCTGATTTGCTGGAGCATAGCTTATGCATTTAATGTGAGGAAGCTTATAAGCTACCGAACATGTTAGTGGTTCTACTTGTTAATCCTCTTCACAAAGTGAAGGGTGAAGGATTGTAAGAATGGACACCATCTGTCAGACTGTGCGTCTATCTGACATTAACACTTGTGTGCCCGCTACATAACTAAAACCGCTGTTTTATCCAGTACCTTGGCACAAATGATCACCATTATGAGTCAATGCTCAGAGCGCAATTATTTGGGTACTAACTCCAAGGTCAATGTCACACTTAAAAGTCAAGTCTCTACCCTTTCTTGTCGGTTTAATAAAATTTAATACGCTGCAAAGTTTTTAAAATAACTTAGCAGAAATTATCATCATTATAAAACGATGTACAGGACACAACAATTAAGTCACTTCCCTCAAGGTCAAGGTCTTATCCAAAGGTCCTATGTTAAAACATCTATTTTTATGTCTGCTCTATAACTTATTTACAATTTATTTTTTTTAAAATTACTCGACACAAATGACATTTCATGTTCTCAGAAAATATGAATAAACTTTTGAAAAGAGAAAAAGAAAGTTTAACAAAAGTTTTTGTGTAAAAGAAAACCAATATTAAGATGACTTTTAAATTTTAACAGCATAATTGTCTCTATTTAAATGATATCATAAAACCCTTGGTTGTTATCAGTATTTGTGGTTTACGTCATGCCCAGATAAGAATGACATTGATTTCTAATTTTATGTGTGACATTTTTCAGTCTATTTATACTTTGCAATAATCAGATCATACATTTTGCCCATCGCATGTTGCATGCGTTTTAAATGACCTGATTAATAGTTTGGATAAATCTATATTTACTTTATTTTGGCAAGTGTGCAAAATTTGGAACGAAGTAGGATGATGAATGCCATATATAGCCATCATTGTGTTATCAGTTGAACTTCAGTTATGTTAACGCTGATAAGCTTAGTTGAATAAGTAATACATTTCTAAATCTAAATATTGACTATTAAAATGGTGATTGACTTATGATTGATAATGACAATTGTGTATGATATAATACAGAAACTATCCAAATTATTAAGGTGGCGTTGTTGTTGGTAGTTTTCACTCCGGATCACG